GGCATTTTTCTTGTCAGAGTGTGGAATGTACTCTGAAGCTTCATGGAAACATTCCAAAACTTTTCAGTGTATCCACCCATCGTGAAAACGGCTATTAGCAAAAATGTACATGGCATCCTTTTGTGGGATTTGCATGCCTAAAGTTCGTCAGAAATTCGAGGGGCACAACGTTCGTAACAGCAAATTTCATGATGAACGTACGTAAATTACGCATAGATAAAGCTCAAATGACAAAATGTTTGTCGGAAAAATCGTAACAGAAGTGTTTGCACGCGCAAAATTTCGTACGCAAAAAACGATAAGTAATTAATTGCACTCAAATGTTCGGGCGCCAATGTCAGTCAAAGATAAGCTTCCCTTGATAAAAACACTTATGCAGAAGCTCTTATTTCGCTATTCAATGTAAGTGTATAGAGTTTGGACGCAATATTTCGTCGGGCATGAAGTTCGTTGGACAAAAGCACGTACCCGAAACTTCGTAATTTGTATGCAGATCCTTACAGCACGTTAGAAGGCTTGGTGCCAGATTTTCATCCTTAGTGCCAGGCGTCCCATGAATGGTCACTGCGGGGGGACCCTGGCAGGGAGGGCGTGAGCAACGCGAGCATTCAAACCCCGTGCCTCCGGCAGAGGTAAAACAAAGTGTGCTGGACACTCCCGCATTAGTCAGTTTCAGGCTCACTGACTGCCTGTCTCCTTACAACATTGAAGAAAACAGACTTTTAAGATTAACTCCTGAACATTTTCAGATTTTTACACTGTATACACAGTTACATGAACGCAAACACCAATGAAAGACGTTCTGACTTTCATTACAAGTAGCAAGAATTTGAAGACATTATTGGTGTGAACCAAATCTATCTTCCCGATAATTGGTCACCCGTCATTCTGAAACCTCCATGCTTGCGACCTTCTTCCCGCACCAAAGCCGCTCTTTTTTCAACAAAGCACGGCTGAACTCCAGCCATTGGAGCCACGATTGTTTGCGGTGTGTTTTTAAGCTGTTTTCGCATACCCTCGAACAGACACCCCTCATATCCATACCACGCGTTCTGACATGATTGGCATGACATCCTGGGCCCATGAGTCTAGGCCTTCCACGAGCACGATGTGGGGTTAAGAAAACCTAAGCCTCATCGTCCATGAACAAACTAGCGTGGGTGGACAAGATCTACTATCTCCCTATCCAAGGCCCCCCGCCACAAGATCCGACTTCGCGACGATGCCCGCCGCGCAACAACGTGCTCATCTCACGCTTGCACGCCCAGTCCGTTTAACGCGCGGTCGGGTGGGGGTCAAATTGCCCCCCCAAAGGTTTTTTCCGGAATATTTTCTGAATAACATGACGTAGCTGCGCCAAATTTTGCATTACTGTAGGCAATTGAATAGCGGATTGTTTGGCATCAAAAATTATATTTACTGTGTAAGGTCATTGACCTATGGCAGGTCTAAGTTAGCCCATGGTTCAGCGAAGTCCATTTCCAAGCAATCGTTCAATCTGATGCAACAACGGAGTGTTAGACTGAGCCATGTATCTCCCATGTGTTTTTTAGGCAACACAACAATTGAATGACCAAAATCCATTGACCTAGGGCCAGATATGAAGGTCACACCGAGGTCAAAATCAACGTGTTTTATTACTCCAGGGGTTGCTGTATGGAGTAGTTTCTGGTGCTCGTTTCGAATTGACTGAGAACAGGAACCCAAAAGACATCTTTCGTTGACTTCTTAAAGGTCATAACAGGCCACCGACTTAAAATGGCCCAGGTCAAGTTTGCGTTTTTTAGGGACAAACTGCCTAGCATAATCTTTGTAACTTATCCACACGCAAGACTCAAAGCAGTTTTCTATGATTCTGGTCACAATGACCTTCGAAAGGTCAAATAAGGTCACTGGCCCTAAATGAGTATGTGGCTTTTTGCTCAGGACAGGTATCTATGTACTGGGTACACTTTGGAGATCAACTTAGAGTTTGCCCCTGTTTGACCTTTTTGACACGACGGTCAAGACCTAAAAACCTAAAAATTTGTCTACAGTGAGTTCACGTACAGGTCAACACACCCTGTGAATTTAGTGTCTCCAGTCCCCTTAGCTCCTGAGATCTCAGAGGGATCAAATTGACCCCCGAGTGAAGGGTATCCGACTGGCCACTCAGGCGCGTATTACAGATCAGCGCATTGTGACCGAATGCTGAGAGTCGTGGGAGGCGCTGTTGTGATGCCTACTGCCATTTTCACTGTTTTGTCTAGTTGTGTGCAATATCGGGATAAAAACATCTGGATTTTATATCATTTACGCACTTACGGGTTTGATAAAGCTTCTTCTGCGAAGGAGTATTTGTTCTGAATTTGAATAAGACGTGCTATCGTGGCATTACTGTACCCGAAAAAATTCTAACGGGCGCGAAATTCGTGCGGTTGAGAATCCGGTCAAACACCATTGAAAGTCAACCATTCCGCAGTTGAACCCCACAACAGCTGTTCCTGCTCCGTCCGATGGTCTCCGGTCCCGCATCCTCCGATCCTCTGCCCTTATACAGCCTTCGCTCTGCCGAGGGAATAGAACAGCAGGGGAAGCGGGGCCGGAGCAGTGGAATGCGCGCGGGGGCCGGACCGTCGGACTGCTTCCGCACAGAAAAAGGGAAGACACGCGGCAAAGGCACGGGAGATGAAACGCACTGGGCGGTCGGGCTGGCGGCTCGTTCCGCCCCCACGCTGGCTAAGGCGTTGAGGGTTCGCTTGTGATCGCGGGAGCAGAAAAACTTTTCCAACACGCTCCTGTGTCTCCTTGGACTTTTTATAGCGTCCCCAAGTGGCTGCAGCTTGTGTTGTCAAGAAACCGAGTTTGTCGACCTCCGGCCTCCGGTTCCCAAACCGCGGGACATTCGTTCCTCCGTCTATACTGCACCTGAACTTTTGCATACGTACTTTAAACAAGGTATCTTTATCCGTTGGGACCTTTTGCTTGCTTTCAATTGCTTACAGATAATTGCGTACATACTTTTGTCAGGTCGCTACCCGTTAGGACCATTTTTGCACGTTTAATTGCTCACGAACAATTCGGTACGCATATATGCATCCTAACTTTTTAATACGAACTTTTGTTTTGAGAAACAGCCGCATACGAACTTCTGCATAAAGCATTTTCATGCGAACTTTTTCCTCCGAACTTCCGTCCTGAAGAACTTTTTTGAATACAATGATTCCCCACTCTTACTTAATGCTGTATGCACAGTTTGTGTACCACCTTTTGGACGCGTATTTGTCATACTAACTTAAAATCTTACGTACATTTGCGTACGGACAACTGCGTACGTGCTCTAGTCCTGAAACCATGTACAACTCTGGAAGTGGCCAAGGATGTTTAGTACTGGACACCGGTTTCTTATAGCTATCGTTGAATGCGAGCATCGGTACTCCCGGCAACGGTGGCGTAGAAGTTCCATCGAGAGTGGAAAGCCAGAGGTACGAGGTTCGATGTCCTGTGATGAACCTCTCCCTACTGGGGTAAGTAGCAGGCCACGCCACCAGATAGCCCCAGCTTGATTCCGTCGCAGAAGCCTGATGTCATTTATTCATGATTGATTTCGGGGCTGTGTTTCGTTGCGCTGTGCATTGGGCTTCTCCACTTGCAGTGAGTGCACTGCTAGTGCAGTAATACACCGCATCTGCTTTGCAGTGCGCAATCTTGCAAAGCTGGCATGTCCCTGCCACTACCGGAGCTGTAATCTTGGAGAGACGGATGGCGTGCTGACGGAAACCGGGGGAGGGGGGGGGGATGGCTTGCGGGGGCCCGTACACCGAATAACGGGAAGCACCGGTCGTTATCAGGGCTGTTACTCACTGAATCATTTCGCGGACTGGTAACAAAGATTCACCCCCTGTAAGGCAGCTACTGTCGCAAGAACCCTCACAATCCTGTTTATATTATTTTCATAGCGTGAACTTATGTAGGGGAAGGGGTGACGATTTAAACCTTTGGCGTTGTCATTCCCAAGCCAGTAGATCTATCTATCTTAGCTTAGCGGAAAACACCAAAGGACATGTCTGAACGAGATCTTACGATTGGCAATCTTCGGTTTTTCTTTTGCTGGGTCAGTATTTGGCCCCGTTACGCCAAGGCAATGGTCAGATTGTCCCGAAAATCGAGCTGTTTCAGCTTGACCTGCATAACTAAAACTAAACAGGCCCGCTTACAATGGTTTATAGCTTTATGTATCTTGAGCATATATTTGTGAGCATATATCTTGAGCATACATTTATGTATCTTGAGCTTATATTTATTCCGTTACAAAGAACGTTCCACATTTAAAGACATTGAAGAAAGTACCATACCTGATGGAATAACCTCACTTGTAACTATTGGTGTGCTTTTTAGTCGAAAATGGTCCTCTAGACAGCACAAGCTCTTTTTTTAGTAAAAATACTTTCAGCATGTCATTGTTTGATCACGTCACCGTGCGTTGCACAACATTGATTGCGAGCTAATTGACGGCCGTTATAGCTGGAAATGGCGCTCACAAGCACCAGGTATAAGCGACTCGACAATAATATTTCTCTTGTCCTTGATCGCCGTATGGCCAATGTAATGACAGGATTTGAATGGCATGGCGTCATGAATGCCTGAGTGGCCTTGGAATAGTCTCCCCGAAAAAGTCTGCACATCTTCGCGAGTGTGTAGCTCAGAAATTAGAAGAGCTTAGATCTTGAGAAGGACACGGCTGTAAACTGCACAGAATGATTTTCAAGAAGGTGAATTCAGTTCACAACCTCATACATGTGTGGAGCACTCCCTCCATGGTAACAATATCGACCCCCCCAGTCAGGTCCGTGGGACCGTCGGTTGTCGCCCGCCGCCCGCGCAGACCGTAAATCGCCGTGCAGTGTCCCTAAAAACCGCCACTGCTCCGAAACAAAAATACCAGGCATTCGTAAATGGTGTCAGAGCACACACAATAGATGTCATATAAGTTACTTGAAGTTTGGGTGCGGTTGCACGACATGCCGGAGAGGTATGTTGTGCAATCATAACACGTAACATAATATATGACATGTAACACAACGACTTATAAACCGCACATAACATCGCCCGACACGCCGGAGAGGTATGTCGTGCAATCATAACACGTAGAAGAATAGATGACATGTAACACAACGGCTTATAAATCGCACATAACATTGCCCGACACGCCGGAGAGGTATGTCGCGCAATCATAACACGTAGTAAAATAGATAACATGTAACACAACGGCTTATAAACCGCACATAACATCGCCCGCCATGCCGGAGAGGCATCCTCAGAAAACCTGATCACATGAGCTGCTGACATCCGTCTTTCGCCAGGGGCGAGTGCTTCTGCGAGGACGGCTTCACTGGGCTTTACTGCGAGGCGGACGCCGATGACTGCCTCTCTTCGCCCTGTCGACACGGCGGCACGTGCTCAGACCTCGTCCGAGGCTTCTCCTGTGCCTGTAACCCCGGATACGCAGGTCCGTCGGCGCTGGACGTTCACGGTTGGGAATACCGTGCCAGGATCTGGGATCTATTGACTGTTGATCTAGTCAGTGTATCATGTGATCTATTGATTATTGATCTGGTCAGTGTATCATGTGTACAACAGATGTGTTGATATGTTGTACGCACAGATCTGGTGAGCTGTTGTGCACATGGTTTGACGTCTGCTTTCGAATCACCTTCATTCGCATGGTGTGTTCCATGCAAAAGCAATGACTGTCGGACTTCTCGTGTCGCTCTGACTTTGACGCCGTCCGCACTCTTCAGAGTGACCAGCGTCGATCGTTTGCATCGGCAAAAAACAGTGCTCGATGTTGGCCTTTCAAATTTTCAAAAGGTGTTGCACAAACATGAACATTCTTAGATGTCCTGGTTGCGTTTCCTGTCAGTAACTTTGCCTTCCAGCGGCGTTGAGAAGACATTCCGCACTGCGATATTCTGTTCCACTTTGCAAATGCCTCTGCACCTGTGCGTTATATCCGTATGTTTCCTGGTACCAACTGGCCTTGAGATCTCGCTTTAACATGGCATACAGCGAGTGTGCAAAGAGCTATGCACAGAGTACGTGTGCGTTGCGGGCGCGGGGTGTGGGGTCAGGTTGAGCGCGGGGTAGGGGTCGGGTTGAGCGCGGGGTCCGGCTCGGGTCGGGCACGGGGTCTGGGACTGGGTCGAGCGCGGGACGGTACGGGAGAGTCATTCATCTATCAGGGGATCTCGCGCTCGCTCTCCTCGCCATCGATCCAACAGGTGCCGTGTCAGGCACGGGTCGGCCGCGCTAGCACGGAGGCACGGTGTGGACGACCGACCCGCGGAACCAACGACGAGCAGCACGCTCCACGCGCGATCGCGGAGGCGGGGTGGCGACTCGGGGCCATACTATAGGCCCTGCTCTGCAGGATACCATGGTACCGCGCTAGACCGGCCGAACGCGTCAGAGAGCTCACATAAGCTGGTATTATATGCTGCCACATGGTAAGGTTGCTTTACATGATCTAGGTCGCTGTTGCAATTTCTACTCGAGGCGAAAGATCGATGGAGGGCAGAAATTCCGCAGCGACCAAGGCCCTGGAAAATTCATTTGGCCCAAGTGTGATATGGAGCTGCATTGAGAGTGGTAAGCCTTCTATCAAATGCTGTTCGAACGCTCAACCTAATCTGAGTCAATCTCGTAATAATAACCAACCTAACTGAAGGATTTGAACAACAGCAACTACAGTGGAAACAGTATCTACAAATTTCAGCCGCGTTTTAGTCAGAATAGCCGTTTCCGCGTGATTTGATGCATCCTTTCGGTCCGAGGTTAAAAATGTTTTCCCAGATTAAAAGCATTGCAGTAGAACATGTTGCCAGATTAACCTTAAGTTGATTTTCATGCTTCATTACAGGACAGCATTTGGTAGAAAGCGCATTATACTTGGGACGGAGTAATTTTCCAGGGCTTTTGTGGCTACGGACTTCCTACCCTCGGCATTCGGTCTCGTGCAGAAATTGAAACAGCGACTTCGTTGCTGAGAGGTTATCTTATTGGCTCGGTGCGTGATCCAGCACACACGTAAATACGCATCTCTTATAAATATTATATTTTTCCAGTAAAAGCTCGCTCCGTTAAGAAATGACCTGCATTTCTATGAACCCTCACAACATATCAAACGAAGTGCCCATCAAAGACAAAAAAACGGGAGAGCAGGAAAAAATAGGGCAGATTTTCGAAAACTTATTGTTGTGTATGGCATAAATGCGGGACAACAATCATCCAGAAACGCTAGTTGCAAGAGCCCTTTGTAGAACAGATCGACAGAAGAAGGCGTGGCATGCAGGTTATGGCCCTGCGTCTGTGGAGGTCAAATATGTCGGGACAATGCAATTAAAAAGACTTTATTTTTAGTGTTTCCGTCCCGATGGCTCAGTTGGTTAGAACGCCTGCCTTCCGATCCAGTCACCCGTGGCGAGGTGGGCTCGAGTCGCTTTAGGGCGCTCGCTATTTGCCCTTGACAGGTATGGATGGCCTGCGGCCGGCGGCGGCGGCCGCGTCAAAGGTCAGGTGACGTCAGCGAACAGGACGGACCGTGCCGACCTCAACGGCACGTTTAACTCTCGGGACCAAAGTCTACCGTTGACTTGGAATGGCGCGATCGGATGGCAGCGGCCGGCGCTCGCACATCAAGCGCTGCTGAGCGTGAGCTCTGATCCCACCAGCCCGCGGTGGGTTGGCTTTAAGTCGCCTCAGGCATTCGCGTTCCGTCCTCGACAGATTTGGCCTGCGGCCGGTGGCAGCGGCCGCGCTCAAGGTCAGGGACGTCGGAGGATAGGACAGACCTGGCCGAGCACTGTGGCATGTTAAGCTTTCGCCGTCAAATTCTGCTGTTACCTGAAATTACGCGATCGGATTGGATGGGCCAAGGCTCACGCAAGCATTGCTTAGCGTGAACTCTGATCCCCAGAAACCCATCCCTTGGAAAGTTTGGTTTAAATGTTTTAAAAAATGTTTCACCTAACTTTCAAAGCAGAAAATACGTCACCGCCTGTGTTTGTAGCTGGGTGCACGGTTCCAGTGAATCATGCAGAAGCCGTCGCTGGTGGGGTCGATACACTGCGGCGGGGGAAGAATGCGACACACTTTCGAACGCGGCGTGTAACACGCGACCATAAATCATTCAAGCTGCTGTGTGGACCACTTTTTCGGCCTCAGTTTTCGCCGAGAGCTTAACGCAAGTGTCAGGTGATCGCAGCCATTACCTCCTGCGTCAGAAAGTCAAATGGGAAAAGATTGTAGGAATGAGTGGGTGACGTGGTATGGCTGACACCTCGTGCGTACCGTCGGATAACGCACGCGACACGTATTTGGTGTTTGATGCTGTTGGTGTTCTCTGAGAGCCGGCTGGCTGCGTCGTGGCCAGAGCCGTTGTGATCAGGTGCTGCTGGAGTTCTCTGAAAGCCGGCTGGCTGCGTGGCGGTCAGAGCCGTTGTGATGAGGTGCCGCTGGTGTTCTCTGAGAGCGGGCTGGCTGCGTGGTGGTCAGAGCCGTTGTGATGAGATGCTGTTGGAGTTCTCTGAGAGCCGGCTGGCTGCGTCGTGGTCAGAGCCGTTGTGATCAGGTGCTGCTGGAGTTCCCTGAACGCCGGCTGGCTGCGTGGCTGTCAGAGCCGTTGTGATGAGGTGCCGTTGGTGTTCTCTGAGAGCCGGCTGGCTGCGTGCTGGTCAGAACCGTTGCGATGAGCCCATCTAGTCATAATATGGAGCACCTAGTACTCGGCAAGTATCCCTGCGAGGTCAGTATTTACCGTACCTCTTGCATTCGGCTTGTCGCTGCTGTCACTGACGCTCTGTTTTCTTGGCATCCTATCTGAACGGTAACAGGTCAGACGACGAGCTGACCACCGCACAGGATGACCCGCGACCACCATGCCGTGAGTTTCAAATGTCGCCCGCTCTGCGCCGCAGGGGAGCGCTGCGAGCTGACGGTGGCCGGCTGCGAACAGGCCCGCTGTGAAAACGGCGCCTCGTGCGTGCGCGCTCTTCACGGCACGGCGTGCCTCTGCCCGCCCGGCTTCAGCGGTAAGCGCTGGCGTTCCCTCTGCAATCTCCGGTGAAGTGCGCGTCTCTGTTGATCCAGTTTATTTGCGTGCTGCAGATGAATATGCAGCGTCCACGTGCGCCGTTTACTCTCGGTGTCAGAATGTGCAAATCGCCTCCAGTCCGTTTCGTTGGGTGGCGCGTGGGCCAGGAGCTGAGTGCTGCGTGTGACAGGGGCTGCGTGTGACACGAGGCGTCCATGTGGCAGGTGACTGGGCAGGTCGTTTGGTAATAGGGTGACCGATATCAAACCGACTGCGGATCCCGGGGGCACTCCGTGGGTTACTGGTAGTGGTCGTCAGTCCTACACGCACTGCCTGCCTCCGACCGCTTGAAAAGCCTTTGCACCAATCAGGGTCCATGCCGTATCGCTGACTGACACTTTGTCAAAAGCAAATCAAAATAAGCAAATAAACAAATGAATATAGGCATTATAAGCAAATCAACAACAAGCAAATCATTGACGCTTTGTCATAAGCAAATCATAATCATTGCTATCGAAGGACCTGGGTGAGGCGACAGCTGTCATCGAAGATAATTCCCTGCCATCGATGTCCCTCACCAGCTCTCCGCCAGCGTCGAGCAATGTCCTCAGAAAAAAATGATCTTTCCCGTAGGTATATTGAGCAGGGTTGGTAATACCATTGCAATGAGGACATGAGCTCAGCTGTTCGCAAACAAATGTTGCAATAATTTTGAGCGGAATGCCTGAGAGAGCTATGGGCCTTCTATCAACTGGTAGTCACTGCGGTTATGTACACACCATGGAATAGGAAGGAGGCAATTCAGGAAGTTTTTGGATGTCTATTATACGCCTGAACTGAACGCGTCAGGAATTGCGCGCGCTCATATTCCACGCCTGATATCTGCAACTGGTTACCTATGATATCTGCAACTGGCTGAAATGTCTACCGCTGGCTCTAGTTATGAGTTGCGTACCCCTTAACCATAATGAGACTCATCCCAGGACTGTAGCCGCGGAACGGCATTTAACAGAACATTTTGGAAAAGGCCTTCCTGTTAATGTGGTGTACCAGTGAATCAGTCGAAATCGATGTCGATGTCGATGTCGATGTCGATGTCGATGTCGATGTCGATCAGTCGATGGAAGCCCAGATTCTGCGATAGATCATGCCTCGCACCATGCGCCCAGTCCCTGACCGCATTTACGAAGTGCCACCCCCATCTCACTCCGGCACCAGCCTGACTTCGCGGCCGCCTGTGCTCACAAGATATCCATTGCGAACGCTGTGACCGATCACCGCTGCCGCAACACGCCGACGCATTCGCGGCCGTCTTCTGTAATCACGGCCAGGCGATCGGCGCCGCCGTCCCAATCCGTAGTACGCTGCGTCCGACGCGCGACCGCTGTCGTCGGCAGGCCTCCGCTGCGAGACGGACGTGAGCGTGTGCCGCCTGGTGTCACCGCCGCACGTGCGCTGCCACAACGGCGGCCTGTGCCGCGACGGCCTGGCCAACACATACCGCTGCCAGTGTCAGCCAGGTTAGTCCCAGGTGGAGACGGGATGGAGCAGGACGGTGCGGGCACTTTCAAAATGTCTCCCTGGGTGAGATCTTTGGCCGGCACATTTTGGCACTCCGGGCTTATCTGTTATGTGTTTATTTAGCGGGGATATGCTAGCATGACTGGCACTTCTTGGCAGAGGGAGGCAGCGTGACAATACACTGACATCCAGGCACATATCCAGCGCACATATTGAGCACGCTATGACCGTGTGGCTGATACTCCCCAGCAGACGAAGTAAGGGATGGAGTGTCGACAGCGATAGTAAGACGAAAGGTGTCTTTAAAAGTTGCTTTGCGCCCGAAGTATCGACAATGTATGTGGGTATTGCAGATGTCAAGGAGGGCGTGCCGTGTGATGGTGAGAGCTCACGTCACAGCGCCCTTCCGTTCGCGATTTCGTTAACGGCACGGGCCAGTTTGCTCTAGTCGCACGGTGACGCTGACCTGCCGTGTGCCGTCCAATGCCCTCAGGGTTTGCGGGGGCGACCTGCCTGACGGATGTGGACGAATGCGCCTCCTCTCCGTGCCAAAACGGTGGCACTTGCTTCGACCAGATAAATGGCTTCCGATGTTCTTGCTCGGTTGGTGAGTCGGCTGATGGACTCATGAAGCCTGCTACAGCTGTGACTACGCATAGCAAAGCAGCGGAGCCGTGGCGTTCCTTATGACAGTGGGAATGATACCGCCTGTGTGCTACATTGTCATCTAACAAGGCTCACTGACGCTCGACGGACGCCATCAACGGCTCAATGGAGTACATTTCCGTGAACGCTACTTTCCGCTGATAACTCGCTATGAACCATGCTCTGCTAACGGCGCTCAGTGGATGCAAACTGCCGATGACATTTGTTTATGACACTCTTGTTAATAACCTCTTTTCTGGTGGTGCCCCTGTTGGCTTCCCCTAATGCCGATGATGCACTCTTCTGAAGACGCCTCTCTAATTTCGCCCTTTTCAGTCGGGCTGCTGACTCTGCTGATGACACAGGTGCTGATGACCCCGTGCTTATGACGCCTCTGATGATGTGACCCTGCAATGATGACCCCTCCGCCGACGTTACCCTTCCGACGACGCCTCGGATGTTGTACGGCAGGCTTCTCCGGACACCGCTGCCAGACAGCGCTGCGGTCCTGCGAGCAGAACGTGTGCGACAACGGAGCGCTGTGTGTGCGGACCGGTGGCGGCCCGGCCTGCCTGTGCCGGCCCGACTTCCACGGCGACCGTTGCCAGTTTCAGTACGACGACTGCCTGCCCAAGCCCAGGTCAGCTAGCGCGGCAGAGGAGGGGTAGTCAGGGGGCTCGCAGAGTTTGGGAGAGGCCGGGTGGGTCCAGTGGATAGCAGAGCAGCGGTCGCACGGGCGTGTCTGAAATATTTCGGTGCTGTGCCCTGATTTCAGAAAAAGTCTGTGCTGTATGAAAAAAGATAACGCAGAGCAAAAAACCGTAGTACGTGCTGCTGTATGGTATGGATGATGTATCAGCTCCAATGGAAGGCAAGTCAGGCGAACTCAGCTTTACGATAAATACGTCTAAATAGACCATATTCGCCGACTCAAAACTTCAACTCAGGGTCATGTCTCTCGTGTCAAGTCGCGCCAAGGTCGTGTCAATGTCGTGTCTTTCCAGATGCCTACATGGTGGCGTATGTGTGGATGGTATAAACAGTTTCCGGTGCGAGTGCGCGCCACAAACCTCGGGCCGCTTCTGCCAGTGCGTGTCGACCACCAACGGGACGTACTGCGTGGCACCGGAGCACACGGCGGCGCGCGTGGCCGGCCTTCACTCGCACCACGTGGTCACCATCGACTACCGCACCGTGACCAGCACTGCCATCGTCGCCACGGAGTACGTGGAGACCACGCCTCACGTGGGTAACGTCACGGCGACGACGGCGTCTGCCGAGGCGGCCACGACAACCGAGATCTTGCCATCCTTCGCGAGCACGCCGAGCGAGGCGAGCGGCTGGACGCCAGCGTCGGCCGTCGGCGTCGGCACCATCGGCGGCGCGCCGGCGCCCTCCTCTCGGCCGCAGATCGCCGCCTCGTCACTCACCCTTATCACCACGCCGCCGCCGGCGTCGGTCGCCCCAGCGGACACCCCGCGCCCATCCGAGGTCGCCTCCACCGCCGTGTTCGGCACGACCGCGGTCCTCACGGCGGCGGAGCATGTGGCGCCGTCCGCGACGCCGACCGAGGTGCTGCCCACGGCGACGTGGATGGAGGCGGCCCACAGCACGACCGATTTCACCAGCGACGCCACAACGGAGACGGTGACAACGGCACACGACGCCACGATGGAGGAGCCGCTTACGCCGACCGACATACCGAATGGGGATGCCTCGACATTGTCTGGAGAGACGGCCACACCGCCTGGCATGGCGACAGGGGAGGCGTTAACACCGACCGACATGACGACAGGGGAGACGGCCACACCGTCTGGCCTGGCGACAGGGGAGACGTTAGCACCGACCGACATGACGACAGGGGAGACGTTTACGCCGCCTGACATGGTGACAGGGGAGACGTCCACACCGTCTGGCCTGGCGACAGGGGAGACGTTAACACCGACCGACATGACGACAGGGGAGACGTTTACGCCGCCTGACATGGTAACAGGGAAGACGTCCACACCGTCTGGCCTGGCGACAGGGGAGACGTTAACACCGACCGACATGACGACAGGGGAGACGTTACGTTACGCCGCCTGACATGGCGACAGGGGAGACGTTTACGCCGCCTGACATGGTGACAGGGAGACGTTAACGCCTCCTGACATGGTGACAGGGGAGACGTTAACGCCGCCTGACATGGTGGCAGGGAGACGTCCACACTATCTGACACGACGACAGGGGAGACGTCCACACCGTCTAGCCTGGCGACAGGGGAGACGTCCGCACCGTCTGACACGACAACAGGGGAGACGTCCGCACCGTCTGACACGACGACAGGGGGGACGTCCACACCGTCTGACCTGGCGGCAGGGGAGACGTTAACACCGCCTGACATGACGACCGCAGAGACGTCCACACCGTCTGACATGACGACAAGGGAGACATCCACACCATCTGACACGGCGACAGGGGAGGCATCCACACTGTCTGACATGACGACCGGGGAGATATCCACACCATCTGGTATGACAACCGGGGGGACGTCCACACCGTCTGACACGAGGACAGGGGAGACATCCACACCGTCTGACACGACGACAGATGAGACGTCCACACCGTCTGACACGACGACAGGGGAGACATCCACACCGTCTGACACGACGACAGGTGAGACGTCCACACCGTCTGACACGACGACAGGGGAGACATCCACACCATCTGACACGAGGACAGGGGAGACATCCACACTGTCTGACATGACGACAGAGGACACATCCACACTGTCTGACATGACGACAGGGGAGACATCCATACCGTCTGACACGACGACAGGGGAGACAACCGTGTATTTCGATGGAGCAGCTGGCCCGACGACAACGCCGCCCACCACGAGTCTCCAGCCGTCTGAAGCGTCACAGGTGCGGCCATTCATCCCACGACCGGACGGTCTGACTTCTGACCTGCCCATCCGCTTCTTTCCGGAAACGTACCTCCTGCTGGAGAGCGAGGACAAGCTGGGCCCGGGGTCGCCTCCAGACCCTGACCAGCTGGAGGTCGGGGACTCCCCTGGTGACGAGTGGTGGAAAGACGAGCTGGGTGGAGCAGTCCCCTCGGACGACAAGAGGAAGGAGGTTGCGGTGGGGGTCGCGCAGCCGGAGAAGGCCAAGCAATGGACCAGCGGGGATCAGCCGAACACCTACTCCGAGAATGGCGAGAGAGTTAAACTGAAGATCAGGTCAGTTCGAGGCGTGTATTGCACGCTTTGCACCGCACCTAAACGGTCCACCGAAGCTATCCTTGTGTTGCTCGTGCAGTGGACCTGCATATTTGAGGTGTTTTCGGTTTACGGGTGCTTCATAAAACTTTGGAATGTTGCACAATTTCATCATACATGAGTACATTTGAAATACGGACAAATCATGGGGGCATTTGATACAGATAAAGTGCCAACGATATTTTGAAATGACACCGACGTACCAGACAGAAGTGTGTTGGGAACATTTGCATCATTGAGCGATGGGCACGCTGCAAATACCACTGCACGGGTTACGAAATGAATTTAAAAGTCTCCTGGGAATGACAAATTATCCTGAATGTGTTGCCAGCAATGCTGCCACAACTTTTGCCACATAACGGAATCGTGCCTTTCATTAAGAACTTTACTGAAAACGGGAAAAGACCTGAGACCTGGACTGAACTAATAAAAGTGATGAGACGGGCCAAATACAGCCCAAGATAGACATAGAGAGCAAAGTTTTATCTCCTCTCTCATGTTCAAACTTAAACGTCTCAGTGGCATCTCAGTCAGATTTCTGTTCCGGGCTAACATAGATGCAATATGTAAGGCAAATAAAGGCAATGGGGATGCATTGTAAGCTGAGGGCCAGAAAGCAAAGATGGCAAATGTTTGTAGGCAAGACAAACCTAGTTATTTGATATGGGACGTCACGACATTTATAGTGAGGCTTTTGTGGATTTTTGCCCTCGCTTTCTCCGATTAACAAGGCGCTTTAAAAATGCCAGCCTGTCGGTATGAGGTGCAATATACCAAAAGCCAAAAGCTTCGATCACAAAGGATCATCTGGCCGAAGACCAATCTAGGTGCGTAAAAGTCCTTGTCATGTATCGCAAGTCCGTACGTTGTCGCATCTGGTCCTAGCAATGTGTTGGAAAACTAACAAAATACATTTTTAAGACCTAAACTATACCGCAATGTAAGTGTACTAGGGTGCAGACATAAACTTAGATCCAAAAAATGGATCCAGTCACGTAATTCTTAAATCCTGGATCCAGTACCTTTCGGGATTCTTGATCCATTGCAAAAGCTGCTTAAGGTTGTAAAAGCTGTAAAAGTTGCCGCATGATCGGCGGTACCCCGACCATTTGTTTTCCCCGAAACACCATCTGTGCAGCACATTGGTAAATCCTGGCCACTTACAGACGTTCTCACAGTGGAATCAACGGCTGGCTGCCTTTGAAACTGTGCACTTAAACTCCGCTTCCCCTTAGGACTGGACCACTCCATCCAGTTACATAGCCTCGCAGGTATTCATTCACGAAGATGGCGATCTATCAGCAGCCGGATCACAAGGCGACAGTCGGGCCATTAATGAAAAGGTGTCATAATTTTGAAAGAGTGAAATGAGTAAAACTTCCATTCTTCCAGTTGGTGCTTCATTTTTCTTTTGCACTGTCTCCCACTGAGAAGCTGGTTTTTATGGTCTAAATGTAAGTGTAGCCTCAGGAATCAAAACACTGCAAACTTCTTCGATAGATTCAATTCCTTCGATGTAAAAAACACCGAGCTTGACCAGTAAGACCCATACAAATTCACCGACAATAGCGTTCAGTGGTACAAAATCAGAGGCAACATTACACGAACAATGTGATACTAATCATCGCTAGGAAAATATCCATTCGATGGGATGGTGGGGGATGTCAAAAAATGCAAAATATTTCCATTCACTATTCAAACGCATTCTATCGCCAGAGACCTCGGTACTTTGTAATGAGGTTGTCGATGCCTAAATATTGCCTAAAAATAAACTCCGACCTCGTTTCTCAACTCGGTTAATCCTCGCTTATTGCACTGAGTTTGTTTAGAGCTTGTCTCAGAGAGTATGGGCTTCCCGAAGCCCCGAGCAAATCTGACAGGCTGCTACAATGACGATCAGGCGTTATTTTCATGAACGAATTCAACTTAGCATGGTATACATGACATGAGTGAAAACAAAGTGCTGTAAAATTTGGTAGGGTGAAATTATTTTGGCTCTGTACGTTTAAGTTTCAAGGTAGTTCGGAGGCGCAAAATGGACAGTGAGGAGACAAAGCAAATGCATGATTGTCAACAAACGTTTGAGCACTCCTCCTCTTGACATGGTTATAAAACCATAGATCTACGGCTCATCTACGATCGTGTTTCACGCCAATGCTAACCATGCCGTTATGGCAAAGTGCCTGGAAGTTTAGGGTTTTCGCTGAGTGTGCAGATTTACGCGCGTCAGTAGTGCAATATTCCAGTGCCACAGTACTGGCGGCGCAACAATGGTGCCTGACGTGGCCATGCTGTGTGTTGGCATCCCACGCGTAATGCTCCTGTGACGTTATCGTACCTCGGCCAGCTTCGCGACGCTGTCGGAGACGGGCGGCATCGTGAGCTCGCTGCCGGCGGACGTGCCGCCCTGGTACCGGCTGCGGCTGGCCGGCGGCCTGTTGCGGCTCGAGTTCTCCTGCTCCGGACGCCAGGCTACCTCCTTCATCGAGTCGCAGGCCAAGGTCAACACAGGTCGCCAGGTCACCGTGGATTTTGTGTGAGTTATCAGCGGGTGGCCGAGGCGCAGGTTACCATGCCTCATTTAAGTTTACACGGCGTGATGACGTCACAGTGTCACCATGCTTTGGCTTCTGGTCAGATGGACCATGGCCGGTGAGTGCTGAACCTGTATGGTAATACAGTATGATCGATATGTCAAGGAAAGGCATGTGACAACATGGTGGTGGGCTTCTCAAACAGCTTTCGCAGTTTTGAAGATTTGGAGGCAGCCAGATGCCATGAAAAGCAGGCTGCTTATATGTTTCCAGTCTCCATGGGATCCAAGGGACTAAACTTAATTTTCGTGGATGCCTTCATACACTGAGTCATGGCCGAGAGGGTCTCTGGCATGCCATATGCGGCAGACAAAGCCTGCACATTACATGATGGCAGCATTTTCATGATATGTAATTGCTGCATTCCAAAGATAACGAAGAGCACCAGTGAGCTCAGATGACCCAGCATGAGACCAGATTAACCTGGGTTTACCTTTTTGGCTTCAGGCAGTGGTTGTGAATCCGTTATTAAAGGAGATCATCGAATAGCGATGAATACCCAGAAGGTAAAAAGCATAGGGGTCACCAGAAAAATGACCCAGAAACTTGTTGCGAAGCGATTTAGCCCACTGAGAGACTGTTCTCAATGTGCAGAAGGTTTCATCGGGCGTGCCTGCTCATTCGACTTTTTTTTTGCTAAAAGTTGTTTTTTTACATTGAAATAATGCTGATAACATCTATGTATTATAATTACTAGCATTAGCGTGCTCCTATGATAAACAAATCCGGGAGATTGCTGTTGGGCTATGAAACTCCATGACGTTACGGCCGAAAATAACGCAAACAAGTTGTGATAGGCATTTCAGTCGTCCGGGTTTTTAAAGAGCTGAAAACTAGCTTTCAGCGATACCAGCTCGTTCTAGAAGTAGCGAAGTGGGAAAGCACTGCACTGTTTATTCCCTTCGCGCTTATTTTGCGGTTTTATCTATATTTTACGAAATGCCGTTATTTGATATCCCAACGGAAGGCAAGAAATCACGGGTTTCTGCGCTTCACAACGCAACAGCACTGTAGGAGGGCACGTGATACCCGTAGACAAGTGTATGAGCTGCGTCCTGGAGTCCACTGGGCGCCGCTGCCGCACGGGCCGTTGACCTCACTCCGCCGTGTCGGCAGTCTGCGGTGGGTGGCTGGACCTCCAGGAGTCCAGTCCCGGTGCAAGGCCGCCATGCGGACGTCCGGGTCTCCCGTCATGACGGCCCAGCAGTTCGCCGACCGGCCGCTGGATCGGAGGGTGGCGCTAGTGGTCGGCAGTCGGCGCGGCCGGCCGGGTTTCGACGGCTACCTGCTTGATCTGCGCGTGAGACGTCGGCCCATTGTGGAGTGACATTGAGCCCTGGTGGCGTGCCTCGCAAATACGATGGCTCAGTTACGTCCGATGGCTCGGTGCCCTGTTTCATAATTTCCACATTTAAGCCGGCATGGTTCCGCAACCGTCGCAGGAAGGGGTGACGTCGCCATGAAGGAGCAGAGGGGGGGGGGGGGGGGGGGGGGGCGGGGGGCGGAACGTAACCTCTAACAATACTGAAATTTAACAATGATCTACGGTGTTACATATATCACACTACCGACCGCACCCCCCCCCCCCCCCCCCCCGCACCCCCCCCCCCCCCCCACACACACACACCATTCACCGGTGGCAGTGGCGCCGCCTATTGTCGTAATAGGAGCATACACCTCGCTTCAGCTCATTATACATCGGTAAGTTAACCAGCAGGCTATTCGTATTAATGGTCCCACGGTTCACGAATGGCTGGGTTTACTACATGTCGATGTCTACATTATCGGAGAACGTTTACGTCCGGGCAGTAGGATCTCATCAGCCGGAATTCTGACCCGTGCTCGACCTCGGCAGGTCAACGGCAGGCCCTATGAGCAACTGTTCATCGTAGTGGCCGACAGCGTGGGCAGATTCAAAGCTCCCTGTGAAGAAGTGCAGTGCGAGAACAACAGCACGTGCCTGCAGAACACCTGGATGTCTGTCACCTGCCTGTGTCAACGTGGGTGCGTCTTGTTCCTCCTCGAGGAACTACTGTGCATGAACTCGCATTGCGCTACCACGTCTTGCCATGCGCCGAGGCGAAACACGAATATTGTTTGGGTCTTCATTTAACGTGGAAGACGCTCTTAAAGGTTTGATCGAGGTTTAAGGCAAGCTGCCTGTTTACTATATGAGGTAGTTTTTGACGCTCATCTGAACTTCGAGCTCGTCCGGTGAACACACTAGACGAAGACGATTGTCCGAACAATTATTTCATCCGTGATAATATTGCCTCGCCTCAATCCTTCCCTGAAACTGCTCCCCATAAAACAAGTTTTCCAGTGAAACACATAATGGTTCTGACCTTGATATGGTCTTACACCTGATCCAGGATCAAGGAAATAAGTCGTAAGCCTAAAAACAATTGTCTAATTAGCTAAGAAATCATCTGAAAGAGGTATGTATTGCTTTGCCTAACACCCCGTTGTCGCATAAGATTGAACGATTGCCTTCAAATCGCCTCCACTACCAGCCATGGCCTGACTTCGACCTGCGATAGGTCAGCGGCGCCATGGCATATGTCTAATTTTTACGCCATTAGATTGACTACTTATTGTGTGCAGCTAGAAAGTTTGTGCTGCGTGAAACTTTGAGGGTGAAGTTGACCCCACACCTGGGTGCGTGTCAGTATGTTGAACAATGAAGTGCTTGCCTGTTCCAAACTATCTACGCCGTTTAGTGCTTCCATATCTAACTGTCTTATGCACGAGTGACTACATGACGAAAAAGCTTCAACACGCATACAGAAAAGCACGAAGAGCACCGTGGCAAAGTACTCAGCTTGGTGAGATGCAAAACACAACCGACCAAAAACGTCATCATATCGTTACTTTCATCTGAAACTTACCAGTCTGTACAAGCCGCGGAGATCTGCCTTCATATTCGCACACTCTCTCCAGCCCTCTCACCCGCTGTCACGATGACGCCAATTAATGCGGTGCTGATCAGTTTCAGCGGCCCGCGCTGTGGCTCGGTCCAGTGCGACCCGGCGCTGTGCGGGCCCGGGGCCCAGTGCGTGGTACCGGAGACCGGTGCCACCGTCTGCATGTGCCCCCTCGGACGAATGGGCGACTTCTGTCAAACAGGTCTGGAGGTACCATTTATAAATCACGGAAGAGTAGTATGCCCCGAGCGTGCAACACATTTCTTGATGTACCTTATCGATCTGAGTGCCATAATTTTGGATGACTTCCTATATCTATAGCTCTATTTTTCTGATATAACATTTCGTAATATAAAGATAACACAATAATGCTATATAGAGGAAAACAAAGGAAAAGATTGTTGGGTGTGAGTAGCAAAAGTGCGCGTCATGATTTACATTTGACGTGAATTGAACGCAGAATGTGCGTACGGACTAGCGTTGGCATGAATATGCATTTCAGAGCTAGAACTACCAGGCATGACATGCCTCCGGGAATGTTCTAACAATACCGTAACGCGGGGGGCACGAACACCGAGTGCATGCAACAACCTATTGCCCTCCGCACAGAGACGTCTTACTCCGAGTCCCGCTACGAGTTCCACGGCTCCCTCGGTGGCCTCTCGGGGCACGAACACTGAGTGCATGCAACAACCTATTGCCCTCCGCACAGAGACGTCTTACTCCGAGTCCCGCTACGAGTTCCACGGCTCCCTCGGCGGTCTCTCCTCATACCTGGCGCTGAACGTCAGCAGCGGCCTGCGCCATCAGTTCTGGATGTTCTTTCATCTGATCACCAACGACACCGGGCAGACTGCTATGCTGGCTGCGTTCACCCATCCACGGCCGGTCGGACCCACGCCGGTAGGTGGCAGCACTGTTTTGATGCTGGGGCTCTCCTTGGTAGGTGGCGGCACTGTTACGGTGTTGGCTGCACTCGCTGTGTCGTTTCACTAGCGTGCTCAATGTCCAATATACAAATAATGTATTCAAAGGGAGTCAAGATTACCGCCTTACAATAATCGTATGCATGGTGCTCACTAAGTAATGTGTATTTTTTATGAAGTTTTGGTCACTGCTCTGGTGCTCAGTTAAAATTTAAATAGTAGGCGGACACCAGATTCAAACCAGCGTTGACAGCGTTTTTTTCTTCACATAGAATAAGATGTTAAGATGGCACACATTTAACACACATAAGATGCTAAGATGGCAAGCATTTCCCAGACTTTGCCCGAACAAAATTACAATAAATCACGGGGGATAAAGCACATCAGCTTCGTACAGAGACTGCATTATTCTCCAAGCTGAGATACTTTTTTAGTTTCAGTTTGCGTATGTGGATTGATTCATGAATTGTGTGCGTGGGGGAGGGGGAGTGGTCTTTGGCTTTTTGCAATATTTCAACATCCAAGGAGTCCTCATAACGCCCAATCTCATATCTTTGGTTCACAGAAAAAAATATTGCCAACGGGAGCATCAGGAGTTTTGATTTTGCGCCTGGGACGCGCTTGTTAAACCATAGCCGAATGGGTCATTTTGATTCACCAACATATGACATACTTCTACCCCTACCCTCACACATGAAACACGTACAGTACACAACGCCAGAGTTCAAACATTTACTTTTTAAACCAGGCATACACCCATTCACATTTTTGTTTCCGGATGGACAAACAGGTGGTAAGGAAGCCGACCGAACTAGATTGTGGTTCGACCTATTTTGGTTCTACCATGCCAGACAAACGTTAAAATTGGATTTTTGACAGCTGCTTTAACCTTAACAAACCAAGATTAATCCACGTAAGGTAACATAAGATAGCCGTTCAGGTCTTAATCTCGTTGGTGTCGATGTTGTGCTTGCTGATGTTGATAATTTTCTTGTTGATGTTGATGGCGATGTTCTCGCTGTTGCTGCTGTTCTCGGCGTTGTTTTTACAGTTGATGGTGCTGTGTGACTTCTCGGTGAGGGCGACGTAGATGGTGTTTTACATAACCATTTTCTTTCGAAAATGACTGCTGAAATACTGATACATAGTAACAAAACATGGCTTCACTAACCTAATGGAAGATCACGCTTCATTTGTGAAGGGCCTTCTGCCCACCAACTCCAGAATACCAGTTTTCTATGGGCTACCAAAGCACCACACTCTGGCATATTGATTGTGGTAGTTCGACTGAACGAACGTCCTGGCTCCTAGATAGGATAATAAGTCAGCTTCTTGCCTATATCCCGCCTCATTTCAGAAACACAGAAGAATACTCGAGAACACTCAAAGATCAGTTCTCTGGCCAACAAATTTTACGGAACGCCACAGTTTTCAGCATGGAAGTTGTTAACCACCATGGCAGCATTTCACTGTTGGAGGCTGTTTCGGTGGCCACTGACCTCGTTTACCAACACCAGAATGGCATTGATCTTTGCGGTCTCACACTTGCAGACATCATAGGACTAGTTACACACTGCCTCCAAAATGACACCTGCAGATTTGACAATGACCACGACAGACACCAACTGTCCATTGCCGTGAGCAACAAGGCGGTACCTCCCGTTGCAATGATCTTTACGCACAAATTTGGACAACCTGCCGCTAATAACGCGAGCCTGAAATCTAATTTTTGCATCAGACACATCGACATTTCTATAGGGGTCTGGACTCACTCACACGATTAGCCGCTGAGCCTCATCAAATACATTACTTCTGTCCATAACAGCATCAAGCTTACCTTAGACGACACACACACTTCCGAATAGCTTGCATTTCTGGATACACTCGTGACGGTTGATCAAAACTTCAAATTTTCAGCAGAACTCTTCATCAAGCCTAATCATGGCGGGATCATCATCTATAACACATCGGCCCATCCTATGCCAACAAAAAAAGGTCATCATCCGTTCATTATCTGGACGTGCCATGAAAATTTCTGCAAACGCTGCTGCAAATGATCACCCATATCAACAAATTCAAAAAGCTGTTCGAAGAAAATGACTATTCGAAACACCTTCTGAGTCGCCTTTACTGAGAAGCCAAACAACACCATTGACCGCAAAGCAATGCCGAGACAAACAACAGCAGGGGAAACATCGTCATCAACATCAACAAGACCATCGTCAACATCAGCAAGCGCACCATCGACACCAACGGGATGAAGACCTGGACGGCTAGTTTACGTTACCATACGTGGACTAAGCTTTGTGTGCAAAGATAAAATCAGCGGTCAAAATAGATTATCTTAACGTTTGTTTGGCATGGTAGAACCAAAATAATTTGAAAGATAATCTGGTTCGGTCGTCTTTCTCACCACCTGTTTGTCCATCCGGCTCTAAAAAATTGTAAACGGTGTATGTCTGGTTTAAAATGTAAGCGCTTGACATTTGGTGTTGTGTGCTATATGGCGTGTTTGCTATGTGAGGGTAGGAATGAAGTTGTATCGTATGTTGGCGAATCAAAAAGACCCATTCGGTTACGGTTTGAGCGCGTCCTATATGCAAAGATCAAAACTCTTGAGACTCCCATCGGCAATCATTTTTCTCCGGCCCGCCAAAGCTCTGACATGGGTAGTGATGAGAACACATTAACGGAAAAAATTGCAAAAAACACCCCATCGATAAATTTATGAATGAATACACATACCTAAACTGAAACAGCTACTTAATAGAACTACCTCATCCTAGAGAATAATTTAGGTTGATTTGTACGAGGCTCCTGGGTTTTATCGCCCGTGATTTATTGTTATTTTGTTGGGGCAAAGTGTGGAAAATATGTGCCATCTTTTTATGTGTGTGCTGGGAAAAGCCGCCCACGACGCTGGCTAGAATCTTGTGTCCGCATTATATTTGAATTTTTCACTCTGTGAGCAAGGTCCATGACCTTGGAGAATAAGGATCCCAAGCAAAGTCGCCAGGTCTCAATTAATTCGACGTGATGAGGTATTATACTGCTCGATAAGAAGCTTCTTAAGCGTATTTATATAGCTCATCGGTCAGGTTATCATTGTGATGGTACGAAAGGTGGAATGCACACGTTAATGCACAATCTGCATAAGTGTATGTACAAACTCGCGGTCTTCTTTGTGTAATGCACCATTTTTGGAATCAGGGACAGGCAGATAGCTTAAGTTTTTACATTTAAATTAATCAAATCATGAATGAACAAACTTCTTCGTTGCACGTACCCTAGCCTGCGCGCCAATTCTATCACCTGTTTCTTAGAGATCTGAGACCGAGATCTTCCGACACCCGGCCAAGCCAACATCTCAAGCACACGCTAAGTCAAATTTATTCAAGCCTTTGTTTCATACGCCGCATACATGATTCCTATTCATAGGTTTCATCCTAAGCATTAGCTCTGCTAATACATTTCTTAAAAAACTTGGGGTATTTGTTACAGGGAGTTATTAACGATAGTGGACGCCTGCAGAGCGCAATTTCAAGTTATCACATTCAGGAATCAACCCTTGCTCGTCTTGTTGTTTGCGCTGGCTTTATTACGTAATGGATGAAAGGTTTGAACATAATTGGATTCATGGGAACATAATGGGATAATATTAATGTGATGTGTTAGTTCTGAAATGCATGCGGATGCGCAAAACAAATGGAAAAATCTGCATTCCCAAAAAGAATTCGTTGTTTGAACATCACGCTCCAAGCAAATGTGGCACGTAATAAAGTGTTTTGGATTTCTCTAGTCCGGGTATTTTGAGCTTGGTATTGTTCTTTGTGGCACCAAACGTAGCGTTCTGGGTATCTAGAGATTGCCCATTGACGAACCTGTTGAGCGAGACAATCCACATAGGCTACTTTTCATGTTTGCGTAGTTAGCACTCAAACCGTGAAACGGCATTTAAGCGTAGGTATAACACGATGTGAGCCCAAGGATGGTAAGCACAGCCTAACCTGCGTTCCGTACACCCTTCTTGCCCAACAAAATGCGTACAGTGTTACGACAAAATGCATCGTGATCATCGTCACTTGACGTCATCACAGACCCATTGCCCCATCACCCTCAACACAACTATTGCTGCATTCCACCACGCCATTTCATCTCCTTCTCCAGGGGCCGCTTGAGCCTAAAAGGGGCCTGAACAGCTTGGCCGGGCGGACGCGGGATGAATCTGATGCTGCTGTGCTATCGTCTCTTTTCACCGAGGTGGACTTCATCTCGCCGCGGCTGTGGCAGCATGTTGACGGTGACTTCTTCGCCATCACGCTCAGCAGAGGATACGTCACTGTCACGTGGCACTTGGGCTCAGGTACGTTGCTGCACACCAAGCCCTAGTGGCACTTGGGCTCAGGTACGTTGATCCACACCAAGCCTTAGTGGCACTTGAGCTAAGGCACGTTGCTCCACACCAAGCCCTAGTGCCACTTGGGCTCAAGTACGTTGCTCCACACCAAGCCCTAGTGCCACTTGGGCTCAGGTACGTTGCTCCACACCAAACCCTAGTCTAGACACGTCATTGTGATGTGCCAACTGTGATCAAGTTCCACTTCTTTTCGCCTGGCAGAACTCTGCTAAGTCGTGATGGCTGCTACGCCTCCCGTTTCATTTTCTGCTTATCTGGTTTAATCAGCTTATGGCCGCTCACTGGTATGCAGTGGCAGTGGAATGTACCAGTGGTGTGGCAACAGCTTTCGCAGAATCTTCCTTTACATGAACTAGCATCTGATCGCCATGAGTGGGCAGTCGAACGTCGGGGGCCTCGTATTGACCTTATATTCGCCTCTTTCATACGAATCATATGGAATTTTGGCTACTGTTTTGTGAACTTTGTGGGCGGCTGGCAGCCTCCAAGTCTTGTCCAATCATCCCCACAGTCAAGTCACACATATGCCACATATCACACCCGAAAGTCTGTTCACCTGTCCACACGGGCCGCTTTACGCGCGTCCGACGCTCACGAGCGTCTCTTCACACACGTCCTTCACACACGTCACACACGTCTTCACACGGGGCGTTTCTGCACACGTCCGACGAGCGTCTGCCTTCGTCCTACGCTTCCTGAATGCGTCGTACTTTTCGACAGCTGTTGAGACTGCACATAGAACGGGCTGGCGTCACCCGTCTAATCCCGCCTAGCCATGCCGGGTGCTGTTTTGGAGGGGAGGAGAGTCCGTTGAATTTGGGCTGCATGTTTCAACACCGAACATGCAGCTTATTTTTGGTAACTTCATAGATGATTAGCGCTGGTTTAGTTATGACAGATCTTCTGAAAGTCATGTTTATTTAAAATTATGTAGGCGGACATTTTGTGCTTGTGCACCACTTACATTGCGATATTGCGATATGCCGTGTTGTATCCAGTTCGAGTACCCTTATGTGTGCATTATACGTCACAATTTGGGATGACGTCACCTGTGCCAAGGACAGATTCACACCTTCCTAAGGAAAAAAACACCACCACAAGATAGAAACTCTTCCTTAAGAAAAACACTCTTAAAAAGGCTCTGCTCGCCATTCAGTTTGTAACGGCCCAAATGTACCGTAAGCGCGCAGGCTCCTGCCAGGTAACACGTCTTCCCCGTTATTCGCGCAGCCAGCTTCAAGCCCTAGGGACGCTGGGCACATTCTCTCCAACAGCAATCGAAAAGCGAAAGCTCTGCCCCGATGTGAAGGCTTCGGGAACCTTATCTTCACCTTAAAAACCTTCTTCAAATCTACAAATCTATCTCCACTTTAAAAACCCGCAAAGGCTTTTGACATTGCTGCCGGGTCGAAAGTCGGAAATTGTTCGACTGATCTTCTCAAAACCTTTACGGATACGTAAAGCACCTGCAGTTCCACGAGCCGTTATGAAAGTCGTTTTCTCAATTTACCGTCCGGTAAAACCCATGCCGTTTCCGCGTTTTTACTAAACAAGTGTTTCTTTTCAATTCACCTAAAAAGAAATACATGAGCCACTTCGGTGCATTGCAATCACGTTTGAACCCGGAAAGTTATGAACCGATGATCCTCTGAATCGATGAACCGATGAACCGGAAACCGATGAACCGATTAACTGAAAGCCTTGTTAGTAGACAGAGTGGCTACGACTTTAGAGCGCTCTAGGTTTTGATTTAAGTCTGGGTCTAGGTTTTGGCACCTAAAGGTCCGAAATGGACGACCTCGAGTCGCCATCCTCACCTTAGAAAACCGCGTAAACCGTATCGGATCATTGCAGCTAAGCTCAAAGGTGGGCTTGGCGTCCGATTCTCGGAAACCGGTTTCGTGGATCACCTGAAGAATTTTCTCAATAGATAAAAGGCGTAGGGTTTCATCAGCTGCTCTGAAACTTATGCATCCATGTCACCATTTTCACCGTCATAGTCTTCACCATGCTTATCCTATGCGAGCTGTTGAGGTGAAGATGATGACACCAGGTTACCAGTTTCACGACAGCTGATGAAATCGTAGCTGCTCTATACATTTGCAAAGATTTCGAGGAGATGCGTAGAGCGATGTCTGAGTTTGGACTAGGTTGCGATGCCCCGAAGTGGCTTGAGCTGTTTTAGGACATGACGTGAGGTCCCGGCTTTCACTATGGCTTATGAAGTACTAGGCGCTCTGCCTGTTCGCAAGAGTTTGGAGGAGATTGCTCGAGTGTGTTCCGAATTACGACTTTACTACAAAGCCTCACATTTATTTGTGTTTTTTGTGAAGATGCTGAACCTGTCAGCGGTAAACTGTCAGCGGCATTCAGAGCAATTTGTTTTTAGCGTTAAACTGCGTTGAGCTCTAATCGTGCTTATATAATATTTTTCGTCATGATTCGAGCTTTGCCGGATGCTACCTAACATTTTCGGCAATCCGTAAATCGCATCTTATCCTATGTAAATGGAGCTTGCTATTATCTTGCACTTGGCGTCACCTCTAACACCCCTACATGCAACGCCACTTAGTTTAAAGCGCATGATTTTTCGGACTCTTCGATGAGTCCACATCGAGAAGTCTGGCTTCTGCCTTTTGACTATCACTGCTTTCCCGCCCTGCCACCAGGTAGCAAGAGACTGATGTCGGAAGCACCTCTGGACCCGGAGATGTCTGTGCAGACCATCCGGGTGGGTCGCAGAGCTCGGAGGGTGTGGCTGCAGGTGAGCATCTGGGCTCAGAGGGTGCGGCTGCTGGTGAGCATCTGAACTCTGAGGGTGTGGCCTCAGGTGAGCATGGGGGGCCCAGAGGGCGTGGCTGCATGTGAACATCTGGGCTCAGAGGGTGTGGCTGCAGGTGAACATCCGGGCTCATAGCATCCGGCGCATTCCGGGATGCCGTTCATCATCAAGTTCATCATCGGTTAATCATAATGCGAAGACGTTATGCTGAGGCAGTAACTGTGTGTTCTCCTCACAACCATAATGTTGATATTATTCTGACTTTATGGATTGATCGGTTTGTCGCAAACTGTCATCAGACAGAATTTTCATCAGCACACACTTCTATGCTCCAGCCAAAATAGCGGCACAGATTACTGTGTGAAGGAAACCATAGAAACGCATCAGAAGAATGTAGGAGTAGATCCGGACCTTTTAATCCTGGGCATTCCTGCTCATTTATACAAATGCTTAACCGTTTCCCCTGAAACATTGCAGAGTATCGTGCCTAGTCCAAGGTATATCAGGGCAGGTATATTGCACTATGAGTGAGCTCATATTGCAATCATGGCTGGAGGGTGCCGGATTACAGCTGTGATTAAAATGCGAGTCCAATGTCATTGTGAAAAATTTGTGAAAAATTAATCCAACTGTGATTAAAATGTTCCCCATTTCGTTCTTTTCCATTAACAGATTATCGTTTCGGCGACTTTGCCACCCCAGCTGCTGTCCCACCGCTGTTTGCCGCTCGACTTAGCCTCGAAGCCGTTGTTCGCCACTCCGACAGCCTTGCCGTGGGGTGACGTCGTGCCGTCTGTGTTGACTGCAGCCCCTATCAGCTGCACTGGCCGACGTAGCGTCGAGTGTACTCTCGGGGCTCTGCACTCTGACTGTGGTCTGTGGTGCCCAGGTGAACACGCAGCGAGTCGTCACCGCCCGCGCGCCGGGAGCCTACAGCAAACTGGATGTGCCGCCCGTCTTGTATGTAGGTCAGTGTCCGATCAATGACCTTTGAGGCGCGCCATGACTCAAATCGCGCCTCCTGCGACGGCTGTGCAATTCGCGGACGCCCTTGGAGCCCCGTGCATGTGCAAGGTGGGCGTCCTTGTCCGGACAGCTAAATACACCGCATGCAACCTGTTAACAGGCCTTGACTGCAGTCAGCCGTGGTTCCGTCGGTCGCCGGTTGCAGTCAGTTGCCAGCTTGGCGCTAAGTCACAGTGGCAGCCGTCAGGCTGTTGCAGCCTGTCAGCCACGCGCGACGTTGCGAAAGCGATCTCTCTCTCTCTCTCTCTCTCTCTCTCTCTCTCTCTCTCTCTCTCTCTCTCTCTCTCTCTCTCTCTCTCTCTCTCTCTCTCTCTCTCTCTCTCTCTCTCTCTCTCTCTCTCTCTCTCTCTCTCGGTCCTCGCCCTTGTTCCCCCTGCATTTTCCGTCGCCGAGCGTTCGGTGTGCTGATGACCTTGCTATCGGCGCCAGGCGGGCACGAGAGTCGGAGACACGCAGACCTGCCAGCGGACCTGGCCCTCTACCCCGGCTTTTCGGGCTGCCTGTTTGACCTGCGTCTCGGCTTGCACAGCTACAAGGGCAAGTCGATAACAGATAGCAGTATGGGTCTGGCGGGGCTGACATTTTGCAGGAAAACGACATAGCTACGAACATACATAGTTTGTGAACACACGTATGGTTGTACTCGCGAACATATTTACATATCCTGGTGACAACCCTCCGCTTCCCTCTTGCATGGGTGACAACTTAGCGTCTATAGTGTTCTGAATGTCGGTGATTAGTTGCTTTTTGTACTGGCGTCTGAGCGTATCTTGACAACTATCCGTTACGTTGGGTTATCTGTTAAGCCCCGTGACCTTCACCATTATGTGATAACTGATAATGGGAGGGTTGAGAAAACCCAGCAGGCAGAATTCTGGCCACATGGCACTGACCACGACCCCCATGCGATTTCTGGCTTAAAAGTGCACTTGGTGTGGACTGTGAAGCCAAAGCATTCATCTGGATGATCGTGATAAATGAATAAAGACATCTTTGTACTGCCAATTGAACACTGTTTTTTTTTTTGTAAACGCTGGAAACATAGCATAAAAACACTAACCGGGATAATACGGATTATCACGGAAGTACTGGCGGAAGTTCGTGGAATGTCAGGACGTGATGCACGAGCGCTGTCCTGTTTCTTGCAACCAAATTCTTTCCAAGACAGAATGGCGATATTCGAACTGATGTGATATGTTTTTTGAGAGGATTACACGTTTGTCACCGGTTTGTTGTCTAACAGCGCGTAAATGCAGGTATGTAGGGGTAACGATCACCAACTGGTAAATAGCGATGTTTATGTAGAAGCGCAACATCCATGTTCGAAACTTCTTGTTAAAAAATGACTTGTTACGATGCGCTTCATGTTTCGACCCTCAATCTTTCCTCATCTGTGCTTTCGTACCAATGGGCTTTCTCAAGGCACAATTTTTGAGCCGGTGTTTTCCGCTCCGGATGATACAAATTATGCTTAGGGGGTGTTTTGGCATGGAAATTAGGGTCATGAAAATAAGGTTATCGGCATGGTGTACCTTTGCAAAAAAGTCCAGTATAACCCAACAGCAACCACATTGCATAGTTCGTCTAAAATGTAACGGAAGGTCTGTGAGGCTACCGCCTCCTATGTTTCCTGCCGGAAAAGGACACCGTCAGGGATTGTTGTCAGGGAGTGGCAACCAGGCAGCAGCATTAGTATGGGCGGAAGAAAAGGTCCCCGTTACCTTCCGTGCCTGGCCTGCCCCACCTTCTCCTATTCAGTCTCAGAACTTTCCGCCTCATTGCTCGTGACGTCACTTCCTTGCCTAGTCGAGCTCCTTTTCCCCGTTTACATAACAAATTGGCAAACTAGTGTTTGCCAGGTACGTGGTTTGTGGCACCGAGCGTGTTATGCCAATGATGAAGCTTGAAGCAATCTGAAAATTAATTGTTAAGCCTCAGGAGAATGTTGGAGGTGATAGCACCTCGGCACGGTGTGTTTTAAGTGTGATGTTTGTTTTTATAAATTTGTCAGAAATCCGTGTTATTAGAAAAATAATGAAATCACGCTTTGCCTATATTCGACCGCGGTGGATTTTGGCGAGCGTTAGGTGTTTGATGTGGTCTTGAAGGCTTGTGACTGAGCGGAAGGTTACTGATCCCCGAGCCCCGTCAGTTACTGATTGGCTCAAATTTCACCTCAGCCGCAGCGGACGGCCGTATCGCACAGCAGACGTTAAACTGCGTGCACCAAAAACACTTAACAAACGGTGAAAACCTTGCACGCATAGTCAGCTGATCACCTGCGGTTGTTTACAAAGGAAATGATAACAGGTGCTTCTGACGGTTGTTTTCATTGACAGGTGTTTCGACGTCGCCCTGGCACGGCCGGCGCGTCACTCCCTGCCGCCTGGGCCGCTGCCAGACGCCGCGCCCCTGCGCGCCACTGCCGCGCGCGGGGTCACCTGGGGTCAACGCCTCAGGCGACGCTAGCGCGGAAGCTGTGTAGCCTGCGTTGGATACCCAGATTGAAGGTGGTGCGAGTTGAATGTTTTCGCCTCCGCGGTGGCCGCGCCTGGCGGGCCACGATTGGCCGAGGGACCTCAGCGGGGAGCTGGGGCTGCGCTGAACATGTTAACAGAGCTGCCAAGCTGCCAACCGTGGGGATAACACCGCGCATGGACCCTGGCGCAGACCGGCGCGCGCCCGGCTGCAGGTCAGAGAGGGCGCACGCCATGGCAGTGATGTTTTAGTAAGTTTATTGACGCCATAGTTTTAGTAAGAGGTGTAATGGCAGTGATGACTGGGCCGTCGCTTCGAAGCGAAACGTTGCGCTTGCGGTTTGTACCATCTGTGGCTCGAGTTCAGGTGCATACCGCCGGACCAACCGCTCGGTCGCGTGGCACGTCTGTGAAATATTGCGGGACGTCCGTAACACGGATGTCCTTTTCCATTCCTTAGACTCATACGTGAAGCCAGGCCAAAGAGTAGTTGCCAAATGCGGTCATGCGAGGACACGACAAACGCATCGGAGTGAAAATTTCATAATGGCGTGATCACAAGGCGATGCTGTCACCACCAGTGTGGTTTTTCCTGCAATGGGAAGCAAAACTGCGCACGCGTCGATCCTTTGAGCGTATTACCCCTGGGATCGCTGGTACCATGCATCAAATCAGCACAGTAATCGGATGTAGCTCCCAGCACTGTATTGGTGACTAGGATGGAAGAAGTGTCTCGTCTCAGGCCTCCGTTCTCTGGCCGTACTGCCCTGGGGCTTCCGTGTGAACAGACGTCGATGAATGCACGGGACCTTTTGTGTTTCTTTTCCTCGTTACTGCAAGACATACAGCTGATGTCTTAAGCATATCAAATTTGGCCAGGTGTTGGTCGAGAAAAATAGCAATATTGTTCCCATCGTTAAGGCGATGTTGATGAGATTCACCTTTTATTGTTTGTGGTATTTCCCGCGTCTACATACCCGCTACGCCCATTGCATGCTGCATTGTACGCTGCGCCCCACGATCAACATTTTGTTTGCGAGTGTTTAACTTAGATGAGTTGGAATGTTTATCTGACACCAGTGCTCTTTAAAATTTAAGAACCCGAGAGCATGCCTCAAGGTACTTAGCGTACTTAGATTTTACATGTGACGTTTTTTGGATGACGTAAAATTTCTACGTCTCCCGACAAATGTGTCAGTGTTTGCTCCTCCGAGGATCTGCCATGACGCGTCAAACCAGCTCAGCCAGTCACCACGAAATGTTCAACGTCGGGTGCTGCGGTTCGACGGCACCATTCCGGCGCAGCTTTGGACCGAGCGCGCCACGTTCCGGAGATCTGGAAGAATTGCACAGTCGCATGTTTAGGTAAAACGACCGGGGTCACAGAGGTCCTCCGCCGGTGGGGGGCACGGCTGTCGATGCGATCCACGATCCAGTGGGACCGAGGGTGCCAGAGGCCGACTGGCAGCGCGTGCGATTTTTAAATTGTGGTACCCCGGGGAGTCGAACGCGTCGGGTTGTGACGGCCAAATCCGGAGGCGAATGAAGGATTCGGGGCGGAAGCCGGTGCCGTCAAAAGAAAAGAGGTCGGTGGTTTGATTTGCTCGTGAGGTGGTGGCACGCGTTTTGTGCCCCTACCTCGCAATGTCTCGCGCCTCGGTTGCGCTCTAGTCGTGTTCCAGCCATTGCAAGATAGGATGGAAGAGCAATATACCCATGCAGGTTTCATTCACATTCAGTGCGCTCAAGCGCTCATCCTGCGCGTGCAGATAAATCGAGCCCCGAGACGCTGGGGACGAAAAGACGGTGATCCATGCGTGAATTGGGCACACATGGTCCCTTGAGCTGTTGAATATGATCGGTGCGGTTGTCTCTTATGAGTTCTCTCAGAACCAGAGCCGGCGGCTGCAGCTGACACGGATCGCCGCACCCACACAGCCTTACGGAATGGGTGGGGTGGGGCGATAGCGAGGTAACCCTGAACCCCCCACATCTGGCGCGCTGTCTGATGTTCACGGTTGCGTTCTGAACACGCACATAGCCGTGCGATGTTTGACTGGCTGGTCGTGACGTGTGCAAACGAGATACGTTCCCCTAAAGCACGGACGCTGAGCGCGGTGAGTGTCCCGTGCCTGACATCAGCGCACCGAACGCTTGAGCTTGAGGTGAGCCCGCTTGGTCATCAAATGTCGTGTGTACGCGGCCAATGCCTGGATTGGCAGCTGCGCGCGCAGACTTGTCTTGCCACTCACGCTTCACCTTGATCTCCGCTGACACACAGTCCAATGGCCAATCACTGCCTCAGCCCCGTGTGCTGTCACCGCTCGCGCCGTTCCTGTTTTCTGCGTTGGCGATAGCTGTTCACGCTTCGGACAAAGCACAAAAGACATCTGCAACGCAAATATTTTAATCTGGTTAAATCCAGGGAGCAGATGTGACGGTGCGGCTGCCGATAAATGCCGTAGCAATATCACAGGCTTGTATAACCATCCCTTCGCCGGACTGTCCAGCTGTAATGACGCCCTCGATTCGCTTTGCTACGAAATAGCCATCAAGCGCTGCCCGCCGACCAGCTACACATCTCTGCGAATAGGTAGATCTTAGTAAAGCTAGTTTACTTTCCCGCACTGTCGTCGCATAAGCTTCGCGAATCAGCATTTAGTGTTTTCCGGTTGTGAGAGATAAACGTGCTTTTTTGGATGGTGTGATGCATGGCGGTGGTATCGTGTGCCGTGGCGTTATGTATGGTAGTCAGATGTTGTTTTATGTGAGATGTTAATTTCTTGTGCTATTTGGAGTTTCATAATACATTTGTATCCATGACACCCCCCTCTGTTTGATAACCTAACTCGACGTTTGAAGGTAGAAATCGCGCTGAGGGGCACAAAATGTCAAAAGTGATACACGGTTAGAAAAGGAGATTTTATTTCTTACCTGACTAGTGAACCACAGCCACGGTCACCGGGCCAACGACAGCCTATGCCCCCCCCCCCCTCTGCTACTTAATACCTTACGCATAGTAATTATTTGCATCTTTTAAGTATTCTCCTTTTGTAATGAAACCCTCCACATATGCAACGAGCATGACGAGT